TTGCTTAAAATGCGCCAACATGCTTCCACGGGCCCGACATAACGAGCTTCGATAAAATCTTGAATTTCGTCATGAATTATTGTTTTATCTATATTCTCTCCAATGATTACGGATGCAGCGTCATGACCTTTATAAATATATTTATACAAATATTTTACAGATTGTATACTTGTAACTATTTCAACATTAATATGGCTATTAAATAAAAGCAAGAGCATTGGATTAAATGGAACAACATATTGATTATCAACAACATACCGCCCAGGTCTTTCATATAGCAATCCATTATTTCTTCGACGATATTGCGGATAACCATCTTCATCCATAGTCGTCTCAGGTCGAAATGGTTTTGGAAAATGTTTCGAACATTTATCATTTATTAGACACCAATCTCCACATGGCCCATGAATCATATGTTTCATAACAACATTGTGTAAACTTTCATTTTCATTAGGATCAGGAATTTTCGCAGAGATAAATCTATCAACTGTTTCAGGATTTACTATTTTACAGTTTCGTTTTAATGTAATCAACAAATGTATGTGTGGTAATCCACGTTTTTAAAATTCTATTACGTAAACATATGCTAAAACTTCACCAAAAAATTTTTGTCTAACAATAACGTCAATCAAATAATCTTTCTTTATATTAAATACACGAGCACATATATCTGGCCTATCTGCAGGTTGTTGACCCGGAAGTAAATTCTCTCTAATTTCGCGCCAATTTGGATTACAAGTCATAGTAATAAAAATATCTGGTTTTCCATACCTTCGAACAATAGCCATCGCATCTTGATAATGTTGCAACATATTACGCGGTGAACCTACAAATGTTGATGGAAGTATAACCATTTTTCCAATGTGAGCGTCGCTATTATTGGCAACGTTTGCTAAATAATCAATTAATCCTTGATATGTCTCAGCTCGTAATTGTTTTTGATTCTGTTTACAATAATTAATTCGGTCCTTTTCAATTTTAACATAACTATCTACAAGCCACTGCTGAAATAATCGTCTTCCCATGACAAAAATATTAAAATTATCACGTATAGCTATTCGATATTGTTCGAGCGCGCAATAAACGCGCCGAACGAATCGCCGAATCCGTTCCGCGAGAACGCGAGATAGTTGCGAGTGGCTTCGTTCAGCCCGTTAACTTTGAGACGACCGGGGTTTCAGTTAAACGCGGACTCGATCGCTTGTTAGGAAGTTGAGTGGAAGGCCCAAAAGACAGCAATTGATTTACAATGCATATAAACTTTATTCGATATAACAAAACAAATCTGACGAAACGCGAGATGTACAGAAAAATTAGTGCGAATGCACTCGGCGCGC